GGAAGCCTTCTGCTAAGGGTCATTTTACAGATAGTAATAGTGTTTTTAAATAGTTTCTAAGCAAGACAGGTGACACGCGTTTTCAGAGCATTTATATGACAAAGGGTAGCATGGACTCCGGATGCGGAAAAGACCAGTTAGGGAACAAAAAAGGCATCTCAGCAATGAGGTGAAAGGCCAGATGCACCAAGACAGCAACAGGAAGACTGAAAAGAGGCAAATTTATCAAGACTCTAGAGAAGAAAGAGTATCAGAAAGAGTCAAGGATTGTTCCTAAATTTTACCTTTGGTTATTTCAAGTACAATCTGCAACTGAAATTAGGAAGGACAAAGGAAAAGACTTTTTTTTTTTCAATGAAGATAAGAAGTTTGGTCTTAAACACGGCTCAATACAAGGCATCAGTAAAACACCCCAATGAATGTTTTATTCCAATAAACAGGCCAGTAAATGTCCAATAAATATGTACGGTAAGAAAAAAAAAAAGATGTATGGCAAACAAAAGACGTGACAGATATGAAGTCATTTAGATAAAGATGGCTTTTTAATGTCAAAACGTATTGCAGAATTTCATTCCTTTATTCCATAAATAGGTTTTGTGCACTCTGTCCCAGGCGCTGATGGAGGCTCTGGGAATACCACAGTGAACAAAACAGATAAAAATCCCTGCCCTCATGGAAATTATATTCTTCTGGGGAAAATACACAAGCCTAAATATGATTCATTAACATAAATTTAGGCTGACTCTGATTAGTAATTAATTCAGGTTAACCCTGCTTAGTACTTACTGTAAGAAAAATTTTTACCTTTTTCTATTTTTTGTTTTTCAGAATTTTCATTTTGCTAGTTAGGAATGTATTTATATATGCAGTCCAGCAGCCAGACAGGTTCAGGTGATTTGTTTTTTAATGCTAGCTTTCGTGTTGTAACAAACCTATTTTCCCTCCTTTGTTTCTCAGTGTTAGTTAGAATTAGGTCAGTCCTCCCAAAGAATGTTCATACAGGGTGATGAACTCAGAATAAATCTGAGGCAAATGGTACAATGAAAAACATGGGTTTGGGAATTAGATAAGGCCTGAGTTCAAACCCCAATTTTTAATAAGTATGGGACCTTGGGCAACTTATTCAGTATCTCCATGCTTCAGTTTACCTATCTGTGAAATGGGACTACTAGCTTCACTCTAAGGAGTAAAAGAGAGATTTCTAAAAGGTACTAGATGCAACACCTCCAAAAAATGGAGAAATGCTGGAAAAATGGTGGCAGCTGCTGCTATGATGAGGTCTACTATTATGGCTGCAAGCGGTGAGCACAAAACACACTCAAAAAAATGCCTGCTGCTTCACTAGGTTACTCTATTCTATCCTCCCAAAAGTTTTGTATAGCAGGAACTTAAAAGAATTATCAATAAATGCATATTAATTTCACAAATGGGCTTGGTATTATGTTTATTCTCTAACTTGGAATGTCTCTATCCTCCAAAGAAAAATTTCAGTGGTGATGTCACAAAGAGAAAAAAAAAAAAAATCACTAAATGAGGAAGCTTCACATCAAAATGAATGAAAGCAGCAGTTCATAAGAAATCATCCATCAAAGATTCTATAGTTATTTTTATTAAACTGATGCCATTAACCTTATCTTCTGTGTATCTATCATTTTGGATAGAATTAAGTGATTTTCAATCTACTACACAATAATGCAAATTTTATACAACATCCTTAGAGTTGTCCAAGATTAAATGGCACAATGTATATGAAAACGTTTGACCAGCTTCCTGGTATAGAGCACACAATCAGTGACAACTTTAGTGAAACCTGGTCCTACATTTCTTTCGATTAGTAAAAAGACCTATAGCAGCAATTATATAACACAGGATTTATGGAACCAAGAAGCTCTAAAAACACACTAATTTGGTGTTGTTTCAAACAAGAACGGTATTCACTCTAATGTCTCTTAGTTTAATAACAGAGAGGTCTGTGAATTAAATCAAGATACATATCACTATAATCAAAATCAACATTTGTCTTTCTCTACAAAATTCAACTAAAAATGTGATGAAACCTTTTTTTATTTTTAAAGACTAGAGAACATAAATTCCTCTTACTTTCATTTTTAGAAAAGAAAATTCCAGAAGCCCACAAAACAAAATTTCATCATCAGGACCAAAGTCATAACTGTTTGTCCAGGAAAGAGCACTGACACCAACTCAAACTGACTCATACGGAATGCTCACAATAACCAGGGGAGCCCCTTCACTGACTCGTGACACCATCTGAGACAACCAGTGTCAGGACTGCCTGTTCCCCGCAACAAGTGGCTCTTCTCCAATCCTCTGGCCTGGCCATGTGGACATGCAGACCTGCTTCTCTCTCCCTGGCACTCTCCCTCATATGTAGATGATGCCAACACTTAACACCTGTAGATACCCTGAAAGCATCCCAATTTCAAAGTGTACAAAATTAAATTTATCTCAGATCTGCTCCTTCTGTGTACCGGTGTCTGTTACTAGCATATGCATCCTTTCAATCACTCAAGATTGGATCTAGTTTTCTTTCTCTCATCAACCCTCTCTCTTCTCAACAGCACACCAGTTCAAAGAAAGAGCTGTCTAATCCCTCACAGTACTACCTAGAGTCTATCCCTACTTCCTGACCCATGCCAATAGTTCCCACGTACTTGCTTACCATCTCTCATATTTAATATGAGAGATGAGTCTAACTTCTCTGAATATCACAGACAGATTGATCTTGATATGAATGTTCTTCCCCAATTTATAGGCCCCCACTGCCTGCCACTGCATCCCACATTTTCAGAACTTGAAGGACTCTCTTCTGACTCAATCATCCATTCACTTGTTCTAAGAAACTCCTCAAATTCAAAATGCTTTGACCTCACCTTCAAGGCCATTCCTGCTCTGGCTCCAATCTATATAAGGAGATGTCGTGAAAAGAATAAACTATGTCATGCCACTGCTCATGGGCTAAAGGTCAAAATTCTCAGGTGTGGCCCCCTGCCTATATGTCTAGACTTGCCATGACTTTCTTTGCTCTCTCTGCTCCTGCCACCTGCCCTTCGACCCAGCCTGTCTACGCAGCCTGCCACAATCCTTCTCATCACCAAACCTCTGTAAATGTTGGCCCCTCAACACTCAATCCCTCAAGCAGGTAATGCCATTGCACCCCTCAAATCTCAACTCAAAAGTCACTTATTCAGTCACTAAACTTACTACTCCAAACTCAGTAAAGTCCCACTGTCTCCTGCTCTTCACCTCCACAGCATTAAGCAAAACCATACTAAACTGGTTATTGGGTTTCTTATATCCCAGCTAGAATATAAGGTTCACAAGAGCAGCACTGTGACTTGTTTATCACTCAACCTAACTAAGAATAACATTCAACAAATACATGTAGATTAATGTAACCTGTAAATCACCTAACACCCTAAGTGAGTTTCAAGACCAATCCCACTACACATCGGTCAAGAAATCCCTTGATTTCTCCATGCATAATAATAATAAGCTCATCTTAAAGTTCTCTGACCTCACTGACATTAGGAGGCATTAGGCATTAGGACATTAGAAGAATCTACAATTCTACCATTACAAAGGTCTCTCAAAAAACATTCTTCCATATATCCTGCCACTAGGAATACTTTACTTTCTGGTCTCCACGATTTGTTTGTGTCCTTCCTTCCATCTAGAATCCCCCACCCCCAACTCCACATTTCTAAATGCTGCTTAACCTCAACTGCTCAAATCCAATGTCACCTTTTCCTCACAGTCTTCCTGGCATCTCCCTAGCCAGTCACAACTTCTCTACCCCTGAAATCTCCACAGGTTCTCCGTTGCCTCGTTCAGGTCTCAGATCAAATGTCACTTCAAATGAGAAGCTTCTTCTAAAGTTACCCACAGGTTATAATTCTCTATCAGACTATTCCCTTTTACTTTCTTGATACCATTTACTATTTTCTGAAATTAACTTGCTCGTTTCTTTCACTTATTTACTTGGTAACTGCCAGCTTTCCCCACTAGAATGTAAGATCCATGAGAACAGAGACGCTGTCTGTCTTGCTCTTCATATTTCCCCCCTCCTCCATATCTGACATCAAAAGTACTCAGTAAATACCTGTCAAAGGCAAGAATGAATCTGTAGCCCTTATGACCAGGGTTATTTGTATGTGTATCTTTCTCTTGCTATATCCCAAACTCCTGGTGCACTAGGCCAAAGTCTGGCTAATCTGTTTGTATTATCTAGATATTCTTGCACAACTGAAGCAAATAACAGATAACTACTAATTAATTAATGAATGATCGCTCCAAGCACTGCCCTAAACCCGGCCAACTCAGAATTCCATATTCTCCAGAAACCAGAGCAATGAGAAAGCTCCTTCTATGCCCTGTCCACAACCCACCCTCTTCCAATCTGTCACCTCCACCGAGCAAAAGGCTAGTTTCTTCCATTTCCTTCAACCAACCACCACTGGTTTTTCTAGCTCCAAAATCTCACAATCCTAGCCTTTCCCTTCTTTCTCCACCCCACAAATCAATTCCAGGGCCTTGTTTCTTCAGAGCACCCACTATCTCCAGCAGATGGGGAAACTCACCAGGTCCTAGGGAATTAGTGGATGTTAAAACGAAGTGTTTAAGTAAGACTGGCTCGCTCCCCTTGCATACTTTTTAACCGAAATAGGCCTCGTTTCAGAGACTAGCCTTGATACTCTTTGGGACCCTAAGCTTTCTCCCCTTGCAGCCCACCGCACCCAAACACCGTTGGGTTGCCCCAACCCTTGCCTCGCACCTTTCCATCTTCCAGTACAATAAGACCCCAGGGCAGAGAGCGAATGGTCCTCGAACACTGGGGGGCGGCCCTACAACCCTCCCCCCACTTTCTGTCCGGCATTCGCCTCCGGCCTGGAGATGCCTCCAGCGCGGGGCGGCTTCTGCCTCCCCTGGGCCCGACCTCCCAGCACCCCCAGCACCCCAGCACCCCCCCCCCCCGCACGCACCTGAAGCGGCCCCCGCAGTGCTGGCACTGCTCGCCCACCCAGCCGGCGGGGCACACGCACTGGCCGGTGCCGGGGTTGCAGCGGCCGCCGTTGACACAGGGCCGGTCACATTCCTTGGCCTCGGCCGCAGCAGAGCCCGACACCACCGCAGCGGCCGCCGCGGCCTCGGCAGCCCAGGGCAGCAGCAGCGGCGACGGCAGCAGCAGCGGCAGCAGCAGCAGCGGCAGCAGCCGCGGGAGGCGCAGCCCGGACCCCAGCCCCAGCCTCCCCGCCCCGATCGCGCCCCGATCCCGGCGCCGCTCGCCGTTCCTGCCCGTGGGCGCTGCCGCCGCCGCCGACCTCCGCCTCAGCCTCGCCTCAGTCGCCGCCGCCGCCACCATCTTCCCGGGGCTGAGACGGCGCCCCGCGAACACATACACACACCGCACGGCCGGCTCCGCTTCGCCTGGCCGTGCGGGGCGGGGCTGTGCGGACGGTGGCTCGCGCGGTCAATCCTGGGGGCGGGGCCAGGCGGCGTGGGCGGGGCCACGGCTGCGTGCGTGGGCGGGGCGCGGCGCGGCGTGCAGGCCCGGGGGCGGGGCTCTGAGCCGGGTGGGGCCCGCTGAGGGCCCTGCTTAGGTACCCAGGCGCGGTAGCGCGATCAGGTTTTTTTGGTCTTGGGTTTTTTTTAAAGATTTATTTATTTATGCATACAAGAGATGGGGTACAGGCCAGAGATCCTGGGGGTGAGAGGATTCACCAGAGACAGAGCGGGGAGCAGAACAGGCAGACAGAAACGCACTGCTGAGGGGAGCAGTGGGCGCGGCAGGAGAGGTCTGCGTGCCATGTGGGTAGCTCCCTGGCCGGCCGGGGATCGAACTTGTGCTGCAGACGCTGTGGATTGTTCATAGTGCGGTGCTTAACCTCTTGCACCACCAGGGAGGCCCTGTAGCGCGATCGTTTTTGCTCTTGGTGGAGAACCTCAGCGACCAGGTAGCTGCTCTGACGCACCCTCTTCGGGTTGAGTGCCAGGAGCTGGTCAGCCTGCTGGCCACGCCGGCAGCTGTGGGGCAGAAGGGGCCTAAGAGGCTGCATAGTGTGGTGCTCTGTGCGGTCTGGAAGGGGTGTTGACTTCCAGACTCAGTTTTGCCCTGTAAAACAGATAACGAAATAATTAGTGTGTGGACCTGGTGCATAGGCTGTGCACAATAAATGTCTAATAGATCCTATGAAGATTGCCCTCCAATCTTCTATGAAGAAAGGGCTGCAGGGCCTCCCTGGTGGCGCAGCGGTTGAGCGCTGGGTTGCGGAGCTGCCCGCGGCCTCTGCAGCGCCGGTTCGATCCCCGGCTGCTCCCCGGCCACCGGAGGAGGGTCCCGCATGGCGCGCAGACCTCTCCTGCCGCCCGCAGCTCCCCCAGCAGTGTACTTCGGTCCTTCTGCCTGCTCTGCTCCCCGCTCTGGCTCTGGTGAATTCTCTCACCCTCCCGCGCTTCTGACTGTGCCCAGTGCATGTATAAACAAAACAAAATAAATAAATAAATAAATAAATAAATAAATAAATAAATAAATAAATAAATAAACATGCCTCTATAAAATTAAAAAAAAAAAAGAAAGAAAGAAAGGGCTGCATAAAACTTACGAATTGGAGGAGCATCCTCAGCCCACACAGGTCTGGTCCTAGAGCCCTTCTTTCCAAGCTTGTCACTGTGGTGGTCCCAGTGAAACCAGCCTTCAAGCAGTGTAGCCTTGTGTGGTCCTTGATGCTGGGACCTGGACCTGGACCTGTGGTTTAGCCAATAGAAGACTATGGTGGAAGCCGCCTAGGTATTCACCCAAAGGACACAATCATTAATAGCTATTTACAATAGCTAAGCTATGGAAACAACCCAAATGCCCCAAAATAGATGACTGTATCAAGAAAACGTGGTACATATATGCAATGGAATATTACTCAGCAATCAAAAGAGATAAACTCATGCAATTTGCAGCAACATGGATGGAGCTGGAAGGGATCATGCTCAGCGAAATAAGCCTGAAAGAAAAAGAAAAATACCGGATGGTCTCACCCATAGCAGGAATTTAGAAAACCTAAATAAGGGACCAGGAAAAAGACTAATTATAATAAAAAAAAAATCACAATCAACAAACAACTATAAACCAGAGACACACTGGGGGGGTAGGGGAGAAGGGAGTAGGATCAACACACAAGGGTGGTGGGAATTGTATGGGGACTATAACCAAGATGAAAATGCATACATTGTGCAAAAATGAAAAATGATGTAAAAAATATATAAAATAAAAAAATTCAAAACATGAAAAAAGAAGAATATGGTGGAAGCGATTATGTGTGGTGCCAGGTCTGAGCTTTAAAACTCGACTTTGAGCTGTTACTTGTCCTGTGGTGTAACCCCTTTTCCACCTTGCTATAGAGACCATATGCAGAAAAGACCACAATTATCTCATGAACCTGGTGGATCCAACCTAGCTGAGGGGCCGTCATTGGGGTAAGAAGCCAGATAAGTTTTTCCAGCCATCTATGCTGTTCCTCAGTACCTAAAAAAAAAAAAAAAAAAAAGTCTTTCCTACCAGTGCCTTATCCAAAATCCTGAGAACTGATAAAATAACTGCTGGTTTAAGCTTTTAAGTTTTAGACAGGTTTGTTACTGAGCAACAGATAACCAGAACATTGAGTGACATAAACCTTGAGCTGTGAGAAATATTCATTTGGCACCTGCCTCAAAGTTTAGGCACCTTGCAGTCCCTGGGAAACAAGGATGGCCCCTCATATCTCTGTGGAGCCTCTCAGCTTTACCTTAGAGCACAGAATTCTAAGATTCTAGGATACCTGGGTCCTGACCTCCTCCCTCTGCATGCCCTTCAAACCTAGTGAGCTGAACTGCACAAAAGCCTCACCCTCAGGTCTCCACCCACACGTGCCTCCTGTTCCCACATGAAGCCTATTGTTGAGCCTAGTCCCTAGCATTCTGGTTTGTGGGCTTTGTCTTGTTTGCTGTGTCCTAATGGGACTGTGTAGGATGAGTTGAAAATCGAAGCTTACTCTAGGCTGGAGGAGAGTAAGATGGAGCCTTGCTCTGGCTTCAGGAGATACTGCTCCCCCTTTTTCTCCGGACCGGAAATGGAACTGAGGCTGTGATTGTTCATATGATTTTATCATCACTTAGGGGTAACAGAAAATGGCAGACATAATAGAATTCCATCTACTCTAAGACTGTCATGCTGTAAGGAAGTTCAGTTCCCATCTGTTCCAGAATGCCAGCAATCTGTTGTCTTAAGGACATTTTGAGGAACCTCAAGATAAGAATTTACACAAAAGTACAGGTATTGCAGGTGAAGTCTGTCTTCAGTGTGCCTTGCTCTAAGTTCATACTCTACATAACAGTCTTCACCAACTGCATGACCAAGAGGTTAGTATCCACTCAGACTGAAGTTTGAAGTTACCTCTGTTAATTGCCTTCGTTTCCCCCAAGAAACACATCCTTTTGATAAAAATTTCTCTTATAGGTAACAACCTGTGTTAGTTTCCTATGACTATTGTAATAAATTGCCACATGGTGGCATAAAATAACAGATTTATTTTCACAGTTTTGGAGACCACAAGTCCACAGTCAGGATGTCATCAGGGCCACACTCCCTCTGGAGATGTTAGGGGATACTTCTTCCTTGCCTATTCCAGGTTCTGGTGGCTGATGGCATTTCCTGGCTTTAGCCATGTCACTTCAATCCGTGCCTCCATCATCACATTGCTACTATTCTATATGGTCTTCTCTGTGTCTTTTTTAAAAAAAAAAATTTATTTATACATACAAGAGTTGGGGTACAGGCCAGAGATGCGAGGGGTGAGAAGATCCACCAAAGACAGAGTGGGGGACAGAAACAGGCAGACTGAGTAAAATACACTGCTGAGGGGAGCAGTGGGCGACGCAGGAGAGGTCTGCTGTGCCATGTGGGTTTTTCCTGGCAGGCCAGGGATGGAACTCATGCTGCAGAGGCTGTGGATTGCTTCATAGTGCGGTGCTTAACCCTTGCACCACCAGGGAGGTCTCCTTTGTGTGTCGTTTATAGAAATACTCGTCATTGGATTTAGGGCCCACCTAGATAATCCAGCATGAGCTCCTCATCTCAGAGTCCTTAATTATACTTACAGAGACCCTTTCTCCAAGTTTGTGGTAACACTTAGGGTTCTGGGGATTATGCTATAGACATATTTTGGGAGGAGCCATTATTCAGCCCACTACAAAACCCTATATGGGAAATCAACCCATTTACTTTATGAAGCCACTATTTATTGAGTGGCTTCGATATGCCAGAGATGGATCTAGGCTCTGGGGAGGCATCATATAGAAATCCCTGCCTTTCCTCACACCCATTAAGATGGCTACTAGTTTGAAAATGACAATAAATGGTGAGAATATGAAGAAATTAGAACCCTTATACACTATGAGTGGGAATGTAAAATGGTGCAGTCTCTGTGGAAAACAGTTTGGCCCTTCCTTAAAACATTTTATATATATATAATCTCCACAAGTAGTATTGCTGGATCATATGATAATTCTATCATATATATGTATATACATACATACATACATACATGCACACACACATAGATGTATCCAAAATAATTAAAAGCAGGATCTTAAACTGACTTATGTATACCCATGTTCACAGCAACATTATTGACAATAGCCAAGAAGTAAAAAGCAACCTAAATGTCCATTTGTGGATGAATGGATAAGCAAAATGTTGTATACAAATACAGTGGGATATTATTCAGTCTTAAAACAGAAAGAAATTCTGACAGATACTACCACAGGGATGAAACTTGCTAAGTGAATTTTTGCTAAGTGAAATAAATGCCAGTCACAAATAGATACTGTATGATTCCATTTATATGAGCTAACTAAAGTAGTCAAGTTCATAAAAACAAAGTGTAGAATGGTGGTTGCCAGGAGCTGGGGAAAGGAGAAAATGGTTTCTTTAAAGAGTATAGAGTTTCAGTTTTGCAAGATGAAAAAGTTGTGAGATCTGCTATACAACAATGTGAATATACTTAACACTACTGAACTATATGCACTTAAAATGGTTCAGATGGTAAATGTTACATTTTTTTTTTACCACAATTAAAAAGGTTTTAATTATTTTTCTAAATTCCTGACTTCATGGAACAACTAGGTATATGTTGTTTTGAATTCTCTACAGTTCAATGAATTTTCAAAGTAAACACACTCTTATAACCAACACCCAGGTCAAGAAATAAAGCATGACAGGACCTCTCTTGGCCCCTCCACTTGTTTTCTCCACAAGGAAAATTCTCTCTTCACTTCTTACACTATAGATTAATTTTGCCAGTTTTTTAACCTTATATAAATGGAACCCTACATTCCATTTGTGTGTGTGTGTATGGACTCTTTTATGTCTGCTTCCCTTCACTCAGCAATATGTTT